AGACAGAGTTTCTCATTGATCAAAGAGGTGAGCGTAAGACATCAATTGACAAGAAGCTGGAAAAGACCAAAGAACATTCTCTAAAACAAAGAGCTGAAGAATTAAGAGAAATAATGCTTCAACTTCGGTAGTGTCAAGTCAAGAACTAGAACTTGATTTCAGCTTCAGTAGTACTTCTAGTGTCGATAGCACTTTAAAAGATAAGCAAGATGATTATTTTGTGGCTGCTTTACCATCAAGGACTCTTTCTTGCAATTATCTCCCGAGACTTGGGGTGACAATGTTGATTACCTTCAAGGCAAAAGTTGCATAAGAAATTTGCATGTGGTTAACGACACTGCGGAGAGGGGTGTAAAACTATTTGAAGATTACAATACGATACTCACTAAGAATGAGGAAGAAAAACAATTTTTACTTCATGTTGTTGAACAGAACAGAAAGATTGTTTCTACTGAAACATCCAAATAAGTGCTAATGAACTTAGTTTTAGGTTGAGAAAAAAGAACTTTAATTAATATTATTTTAAGTATTGCTTTGTTTATAACATTTTGTGTGTGTTTAAATACTATATTTGAATAAAAAAAAAACTTACTTTTGATACATAATTTACGTTTTTTACTTAATATCCTGACTAGTTCTTTTTAAGGATTTTTTTCATGAAATTCAGATATTTCAAAGTCGATGAGCACCCCCCTTGTATATAAGATAAGGGGCTGAAATTTTGAACACATAATAGGAATGGCAGGTGTAACAATACAAGGGGGTGGCATGACTTCCACCCCCCTTTTTTTCTATTTAAGCATGGGACACCCTAATGTACATATTGTTGGTCAAGCTGGCCTAATGTCAGCTGAATGGCAATCTTAAAGTCACCCTATCTCCCCTAAAATGGGGACATTTAGAACCAACTGAGTGCAATATCTCATCACTCTGACTACACACAAGAAAAGTCAACTGTGATGGACATCACCTTGTGTATTGTGTACTCTGTTTTGTTGACACAAAAGTTTCCAATAAACTAATACTAAACTGTTAATCTTGTAATTTTAAAAAATTTAATCTTCAACTGAAACAAACAATTTTTTTATAAAATGTGGAAGAATCATGTTTAAGAATTGGAAATTGTGATGAGATTTTCTCGATTTCAATTCCTATACCTTGAAAATGTCTGATTTTTCCAATTCTGATTAGTCGTCCCATTACTATTGATTATATATTAACCTGGCATTTCATTACTATCAAGTGAATCATTAGGCATTTCTATTAAAACTGAAAGTACAGTAGAGCATCGTTTATCCGAATCAATTGGGGACTAGGGTTGTTTGGATAACTTATTTTTCAGATAACCGATTATGTACGAAAAATATATTAACCTAGCCCAGGGGTCGGCAGTTTGTCAAGTGAGAAGAGCCAAATTGTCATGAAAACAGGATAACAAAAGTACCAGAGAGCTGCATATTAATTTAAATGTGCAAAATATGACACACGACAGAGGTGCCTCTAGTGGGCGTTTTCGGCATAACGTTACACAAATGGACGGACATGCGTTCAATGGGTTATATATATAGATATGCTTCAAATGCTACCACTCTTATGCGACTCATATTGATCAACGCGAGTGTGGTCATTTGCGGACAGAGAACAAGTCGAAGTTTGTTCAGTGGCTCTATCTCATAAACTCATAAGTTATAAGGCTGCGGTGAAATGAGGTGAGATGAAATTGGAGTTTATGTCCAAAGAGCCGCAAACGGCTCGCGAGCCGCTAATTCTGACCCCTGAGTTAAACCATAAATTAGTAAATGAGATATGTAATGAATTGTTAAAACATACTTTACTGATGTGAAATTAAAAATTATACAGAACTGCTCTTTTTAGATTTTTTTAAAATATACATTTTTTAAAATTATAATTATTTATATCTGTATAATTATTTTTGCACGAATATCTCAAAAATTACTAAGCAATTTCTGTACTATGATTCACTGTTCAAACTACGAAACTAATCAAGAATTTAATAAAACTAATTTCATTCATTTTAAATTACATTTTAGTATAAAAATTTAGAAGAATGTGTGTTGAAATGAAAAATTATTCACATGAAACAGCCAAAATTATCAAAAACTCAAAGACAAACTTCAACATCTATTATAAATTACTATAATGAAGTAAAGGTCTAAAAATTCAGACAACTCGAGAATCCAGACTTTTTAAAATAGCAAACTTGTGTTAATTCTATGCATTGAGGTATCATATATATCAGGGCTTCTTAAACTATGGGTCGCGACCCCATTTGGGGTCGCTTAGAGAAATCTTNTTGGATTTCCTGGGACATTCTCATAGACGTCTCGGGAGGACAAGGGTTTAAAGTAGGATGAATACTAGCTGGTGGTATATTTTTAAATATTTTTAAAAAATTCAAATTTTAATTGCGATTTACGACCCCCGATTTAATTAAACTTATATACAATAAAAAAATTAAAAAACTATTAGAGGTCGTTTTTGACATCAGAAATTAGCTTTAAATAACTTTACCGAAGTAAAATCCGTGCACTACAACTTTAGAACAATTAATTAAATTTGATAAAAAAATTGCGTTAATTAAAAAACAATTAAGCGTTAATCGCGCGTCATTAAAGGTTGATTAAAATTGTGATAAAAATTTTTTTGCACGGGTAAAAATTTTTGAAAAAATTTGGACTTAAAAAACATTCCAAAAGTCCAAAAAAATTTTTTTTTGGGGGCCGAAAGGACCAGATTTTCTGTAACGCTATAGAACTTGCCCGAGTTAACTCGGTTAATATATATCTTACACAGCATTATTAATATAATTTTGGAGGTTAAGAACATATTAAATTACTTTAAAAAATGAAAAATAATTATATCATTTGATTTCAAGATATTTTGTATATCTTAAAAATTAATTAATTCTATCCCGGGATTTCCCGGGAAACAATTCACTTTTATCTCAGAATCCCGAGACAAGCAAA